AGTCAATTATCTAAGTCGACTCTGTTCGCCCCTTCGAGATCCTTATCATGTTCTTCTCGTATATGCGTGCTACGCAGCACTAGAGTGATGTGGGATATTCGTTAGTGCATGCGTGCAGGCGCTGGTAAGCACGCGCGACAAGATGGAGACCACGTTCGCGATGACTTGCGATGCAGAAAATTCAATACCACGCGCCCGGATGATATCCTTGAGATCATTGTGTGATCGAGACTTTGTGTGATTCGTATTGTGTCATCAATAGCTGGGAAGAATGATACTCTTCGCAGACGGGAATTTCAAGAATTCCCGAGAAGACAGAACCATCAATCTTTCCAGGAAGAATGACCGTTATTTTTCCCCATACACCCAGGGCTGCACGGAGACTTCAACTTCTAGTGTCTCGCTATCGCGGCGACAGCGACAGTTTCGCCGATATCTGCTCGTTTCCAGCATTTCCGGTCGAGTTCCAAGTCACGATCATAGACAACGAAACGTGAGTCGCGTTACGTGATGCACTACCAATTGTTATCGATCGCTTTGGCGAGCGCGGTTAGCAACGTACACGAACCTCACTCAAAGAGGGTATATATCGACTCAACGGTGTTTCGTAGAGAGGCCTCAATGGTTTGTAAGCATCAATAAAATCAACGGTCATCGAACCCATGACATGGAATCGCAATATCTCCATATTGGCTCGGGAATTCTGGGCCAATATGGAGATATTGCGAGTCAGAAGAACAGTGTCGAACTTCTATTATAACCCCAGGTTAGAGTCCGCATTGACTATCAAACGATGTCCATTACATCGCGTGCAACAAAACGATCCATCTATGGTTTTTCTCGCGAGATTCATTCCCGAATCGTCTTCAAGGGGAACAGAATGAAGTGGTTCCATTCATTCCCAGCAGCTTCGACTCGCTGCCGTAGAGAGCACACTGGACAGGCCGCGCGAGAAAATTTCCGGTCGACCCCGCCTCCAGACCAGGGAAGAATGTATTCTTTCTCCCCAGGTATTGCAGCGTGGATCTTGATGACAACTGAAGTCACTGACGAGTTTCTTGATGAAGTATATACAATGTTTTTCAATGGATATGATTTAGCAGCACAGCTCGGAGCTTAAGTATCTTAGACAGATATACACAATAAAACCGAGTAGCACACAATCCGTCCCCGACAACAGTATATTCCCGGGAATAGGAAGAATGATCCATTCTTCCCGTTTTTGGGCCACGCTGATCAGCAGTTTTCAGACAGTAAGCAAATGACGCACGCCCGAAAGTTGCTTCGTACCCTCGTTACGAGAGTGTCTTTCTCACCGCCAATAATGACATATACATGACGTTGTTACTGTTACCATAACAACATCAACTAAGTATGAACCGCAGTTCAGCCTTCCACCCAACCCAAGTGTCGCAGCATTGAGACACGTCACATAGTCAATGCACGGCATGATGCCACCTACTCCCCCCACAAGCGGAAGGTCCCGTCCAGACCACCAGACACCAAGAACCGACTAGGAGCTTCATATCCGCTCTCAAGTGACACCGACTGAACCTGAGTCACCACAGCAGCACTCCCAAGTGAGAATGCCGCGGACGGCGCTTCCTGCCGAGTCCTCATGGCCTTCTAAGGTCCTCAGGAACTTCTTCTCCCACACGTCGAACAACTTCACCGATGAATCCATCGAGGCAACAGCGATGACCTGCGAGCGCCGCCTGTTCTGATAACGATTCCTATCAGATGTCACCTTTCCACTAATGTCCCAATCAGCTTCGTTGGCCGGCATATTCCCAGTGTCTATTTGCAGGACCTCAGCAACCATACGCAAGTCCCAAACCTTCACGACGCCGTCTGCATCAGCTGATGCCAAGTACATGCCCTACCAAAAACGACATCATCGAACGACATTCAACAGTGCGTGCCAATTTGATATGCAAATTTCAAGCTGTGGTGGATATAGATGGAAGTTCTACAGTTGTCTCGACCTCGGCGTCCGTAGACCTTCCGATCTTCGAGATAATATGGCTACTCTATTGTGTGTATACCAGGGCCGTCTGTGTCACAGTGGAGGTCGTCGGTACGCGACGGTCATATACTCCCGGTTCACTGCGTACGATATTTCTCCTTCAATCAATTCAACATGAGACCCCATATCTCGTCGAGTAAGCAGTCACAAGTTGTGATAGCAAGATGGCATTGGAGGGCCTGATGATCACTCTATCGTCCAATAGTTGTGTGCTGTGGAATCCGTCTGCCCAATCTGTCCCTCCTAGCTATGGCTAGTAGGAGGTTGTACTGTTGCTGTTGTACTCATTCCTATTCCTCCAAATAGTAACGCTCTGGCTAGTGTTATAAGTCAATGTCAACAGGATCTGTGGTGTCGAACAACCCAACGGGTGATCATGGTGCATCATCCGGCCCTCAGATCTCTTTTAATGACAAGAACCCTTTGGATAGGGTTAAGGCGGCTCTGGCAGCCGTACCTGGAGGAGGTTTTGAGGAGTTGGAAGTTGAATGGTCTCGCTTGCAAACTCAGAGTACTTATCGGCAGCTCTTGGCTATAATTGGCGTATCGGCCAATGCTCTAGCATGGTCAGGATTGGAGTTTACCTGTGCTGCGAAGCGTCTCGGTCCTGACCCAGCTGCATTTCATGCAGCATATAAATTGAGCCGACATCGTAGTGCTACTCGTGATAAAGCTTTTGGTCAAGAAGATGGTTTTGACGCGTTCAACTATGATGCCCTTTGTCAGCATTTAGCCTCTGCTACTGCCCGTATTACAGGTCCAAAGTGGGGCCCTCTCTTGGTTGGCCTGGCCGCCTATCTCCCGGAAACCGTTGTTGACACTGCCTTACGTAGCAATCTTAAGGAGGCTCTTTTCTCCTCAACAAATGGTGTGGAGAAGTTTGATCCCAAGTCCGATTTATTGCTCTGGACTGCAATCACCAAAGAAGCTAGCAAAGGTATCTGTGATAATGATATGTTGAAGGAGTACTTCGTGAAATGGACGATGCACTGAAGCCTATATGATAAATTGGTATCTTGTTGGCGTGAC